GCCAGACATCCTGGAGAATTAAGCTAATTAGGCCTTAGGAAGCATTGTTAACAATATGGCTAGTGAAAGTGACATAATTCCCACTGAGCTATTTAAAATCCTAAAAGATGATGCTGTTAAAGGCTGAACTCAATATGCTAGCAAATTTGGAAAACTCAACAGTGGCCACTGGATTGGAAAAGATAACATTCCAAACCTAAAGAAGAATGTTCCAAAGAATGTTCAAATTACCAAACAATTGTGCTCATTTCATACTTCAGTAAGGTTATGGTTAACATTCTGTAAGCTAGGCAACAGCATTATGTGAACTGAGAATTACTAGAAGGACAGGATGGTTTTCAAAGAGGCAGAGGAGCTGGAGACCAAATTGCCAACATTTGCTGAATTATGGAGAAAGTAAAGGAGTCCCAGAATAGCATCTACTTCTGCTTCATTGACTACACTAAAACCTTTGACTGTGTGGATCACAACAAAATGTAACAAGTCCTCAAAGAGATGAGAGTACCAGATATCTTATTTGTCTCCTAAAGAATCTGTGTGTGGGTCAAGAAGCAACAGTTAGAATCAAATATGGAACAACTGATTGATTTAAGATTGGAAAAGAAGTACCACAAGGCTATATATTGTCCCTTTATTTATTTAACTTATATGCAGAGTACATCATGTGGAATACCTGGCTGGATAAATCAAAAGCTGGAATCAAAGATGCCTAGAAAATATCAACAATCACAGATATGCAGACAATACCACTTTGATGGCAGAAAGTGAAGAAGAATAAGAAATCTCTTGATGAAGATGAAAGAGAAGAGTGCAGAATCTGGCTTGAATCTTAACATAACCCCCCCCAAAAAACCAAGACAAACCAAACCCCTAAGATCTTGGCAACTGGTCCCATAACTTCCTAACAAATAGGAGAAGAAATGGAACCAATGTTAGATTTTATTTTCTTGGATTCAAAGACAACTGTAGATGGAGATTTCAGCCATGAAATAAAATAAAACAAAACAAAACATAAAATCTCTTGCTCCTTGGAAGGAAAGCTATGGCTAATCTGGACAGCATACTAAAAAGCAGAGACATCACCTTGCTGACAAAGGTCCTTATAGTCAAAGCTATGGTTTTTCCAGTAGCAATGTATGGCTGTGAGAGTTGGACTATAAGAAAAGCTGAGCACCACAGAATTTTGAATTGTAATGCTGAAGGAGACTTTTGAGAGTTCCTTGGACAATGAGGAGATCAAATCAGTCAATATTTAAAGAAATTAACTCAGACTATTAACTAGAAGGTCAAATGCTGAAGCTGAAGATTAAATACTTTGCCTAGATAATGAGAAGACTAGACTCATTAGAAAAGACCCTGATATTGGGAAAAATTGAAGGCATAAGGAGTGGCAGAAGATGAGATGGATAGATATTGTGATGGAAGCAACAAACATGAGCTTGGACAGACTTTAGGAGATAGTGGAAGATAGAAGGGCCTGCTATGATATGGTCTTTGGGTCATGAAGAGTTGGACATGACTGAATGATTGAACAATAACAAAGGGAAGATTACTAGTATATCACTTGATGGATTGGATAAATTGGAGAAGGGATTGACCAGGACAAAATGCAGTAAGGGAAATCAATTTTTTTTGTTTTTTAAAATTTCTTTTAAATATTTATTTATCTTATACAGGAAATCCATTAATTTAAAAAAATTTTATTTTTAACAGGAAAACTGGATTGGAAACTATTATCATAGTTTAGTTGAGAAAACTTGAAGGTCTCATATACATTAAAATTGATAGCTATGCAAGATAGCATTGCCTCAGTGCCATATAAAGAAACCATAGAATGTTTTAGGGATGGACACCACCTTAGATAGTTAGTCTAACCCTTTCATTTTATGGTGGAGTAAACAGATTCCATGAGGAAAGTGGATCGTCCACCAAAGGCAGTCAGTGGTAAAATAGGAGCTAGATTCAAAGTGCCTTGATGTTCAATCAAACACACTTTATACTATTCATACTCTCTAAGTCATGATTTCTTGAGGGTCCTTTGACAGTTTTTACAATGAGAGTTAGTACAACAACTCCTGATATCTTCCACAGGGTGGTTACGAAGTTTATGGACATGATAATCAGAGGGTTCTTTTATCCTCTTTGTATTAAAATATATTTTTGGGTGTGGATTTTTCATATCCTGTTTATTATCAGAGTTCTTTTTTCTCATAAGAAAAAATGTAAAGGCTAGGAGGGAACTTCTCATTAGTTCTTTGGGGCTGTGTGTTATAGTAACTGTTGTTTTGGTTGGTGTGGCTATGAAATTATCAGTTTTTATTTCTGGCTTGAGGAATGCTTTTGAGCATATGTGTATGTAGTAAGTGGAAAAAAAAACATAAGGTGTAAATTTCTAGAAGAAATATAGTTGGGTTAGGGTAGGCCATTGACACTGCTGGGAATTAGCAAAGTGGTTTGACTGTTTGACCTGAAATTCTGAAGTGTGGAACTAGTCACACATTCCCAGGATGAAAGAAAATGGAAGAATAAATTGATCATCAGACATTTATGAAGTGCCTACTATATTCCTAGCACGGTGCTACTATAGGGAAGGAGGAAGATTAGTAGAGGCTTCCTATAGAAGTTGAAGCCTGAACTGAGTCTTGGAGGAGGCCAGGAATTCCCTGAAGCAGAGGTGAGAAGGGAATTTGTTCTAGGCATTGATGGAAGTCTGTGAAAAGACACAGATGAGAGACAGAATGTCATGTGTAGAAAAGAACAAGTGGTCTATTTGTGATGGAACATATTATGTGACTTAGAATAAATACAATAAACACAGAGAAGTGAACTGGAATTAGATCGCAATGTAATTGGAGAAAAATAAAAGGAATATGATTAGGCATTTGTCTATATTCCCCTTATCTTGCATTATTGTGGCATGTTTTTCCATTCTAACTGTACTGCTCTAAACTGTGTTCTTGTTGTTCAGGTGTTTTTCAGTTGGGTCTAACTCTGTGACCACATTTGGGGTTTTCTTAGCAGAGATACTGAAGGGATTTGTCATTTCTTTTTCCAGCTCATTTTATAGATGAGGAAACTGAGGCAAACAAGGTTAAGTGACTTACCAAGGGTCACATAGATAGTAAGTGTCTGAGGCCAGATATGAACTCAGAAAGATCAGTTTTCCTGACTCCAAGGCTGACACTCTCTCCTCTGTGTCACCCAACTGCCCCTGTAAGCCTTGAGCATGTCACTATTAAATACATTCAATTCTTTTAGTCTACTTTTGAAGCTTCTCAAGGCCATTTTGAATTCTGTCCTCCAAGGTATAAGCTAACTTTCCCAAACCTAGACAATCATCAGAACAGCAAAGAATTATGCTATTTCATTGTTTTAACTATGGCTAGTGATATTAATTAGTACAATAATTTTCCATTAATCAAGCTGAAGGTGTCAGATCTCTCTCTTTACTATGACATCAAAGCAAATATTTTCTATTTCCTTTAAAGTATTAATCCTCAAAGAATTTATCAGCTCTAAAGTTAGGGAGAGGTTTGAAACCTGAAATTCTGTAGAGACTAATTCTATTTTCAAAAATTACATTTATTTTTTATTACCTGCCTTCTCTTTCATTCTATTGGGTTGCTTCCTTTTGTTCTTCAAGACATTAGCAATGAGCCATCATTCAATTTTGATGTTCCATAGGACTTAAGATTCCATTGGTCAGTATTCTGTAGTTCACATCTCTATGATTTTCTTCTCTGTAGTTAATTTGGTTCCAAAGGAGTAAAGGATTTATTGGAAATTAAGCATGGACACAGGCATGGAGATATGGGGATTCAAACTAGGCCAAGGGAATGGATGATACTTCTCTCCCTGCCCCTCCAACACTCTCTTGGCAGTATGCCAGAGACATTCTGGCTCCTGGCTTGCAATTCTATCCACTTGCCAGAAATGGTCCTCAGTAGAAGCATGGATAGTCTGTATCACTGAATCATTTCTCAAATTTGGTGTATGCTTATAATAACACCATTCCAAAATGAAATGTGATCTTTCAGGGGAACTGTTTGCATGTGACTGTACAGTTACTCTTTTCAGGCTGAGTTCAGGGATGGCAAGTGGACATTAAGGAACATTTAAAAATATCCTAGGGATGTCTTCTCAAAAATATTAATTTTTAAAATTATAATTATAAGAAGAACAAATCTTGAGGATGCATATTGCTTTCAAAAACCTTTATTTGTTTGGTTGCTTCATAATTTCAAGGAAAATTATCCCTATATCACCTACATTAGAAAAAAATTGTATACCAGGACAGAGATAGACAGGAAACCTCATAAGATGATCTACTGCATTAATTAACTGAAAAAGTCTTGTCAATAGCTACCCAGAATCTCCAATTTATAAGCATAGGTTAGAGTGATTATATTGTGAGATTCTACCAGGGAGAAAAACAATGTGCTTTAGGAGTTGTTATATATTTTAAAAGCATCGAGTGCATACAGCAAGAAGAAAACAACCAGAGAGAATCATTAAAGACAGGGCAATTGCGTTCTGTAATGCTTTCACATTGCAGAGCACAAATTGTTAATGCTCATGTTTTTGCACAAATCATCAGTTTAGTTAAAGTTTCATTTCTAGTTAAAACACTTTTTCTGTGTATGCAACTACTGCTGCTTTTATTTTTTCCTTTTTCAGTTCAACTTAAAGTAATAACTTGTAGATTCATTTCCTTCATAAAGTATAAAATGCATGTGATAAAATACAAATAATTATGTGAACTTCTGTGATATATCTTACCTTGATTCTAAGTAAAGCCAAACAGCACTTTGTAATTTGCATTCCTACTTTCCAAAAATAGCAGTGAAAGCCTACTATTAAACTGTAAAACTAATATGGTATTTCTTAATGTCCTGGCAATGCACCTCCAGGAAAGAGTTCAGAAAGCTGAGCTGGAGCCTAAGTGCTGACCTGCAGGGTAATCTACTGTTTAACACTCACTAAATTTATTACTCCTCCAGGTGATGTTCAGATTCCAGGACCTCCCACCAATGTACATGCTTCAGAAATCAGCAAAACATATGTTGTGCTCAGCTGGGATCCACCTGCTCCCCGTGGCAAGGAGCCATTAATGTATTTCATTGAGAAGGTACTGTGTAGTTACATTTGCTTGTATGATAAGCCTTTGTACAACCTCCTACCCTTGAACTCCAACCATTTTCTTGGAAGAGAAACCATCAAACTAGTCATTTCTTTATGAAACTTTGGTAAAGAAGCAATAGTAGGACACTGTATTTGGATGAAATCAGGGATGAGGATTCATATTCAATTTAGTTAAAAAAACTAATTTGTTGAATCTATGGAAATGAACAAAAAGTTCTGATCATCAAATGCCTTAGGGGTCTTACTACCCAGACACAGGACTAGGGCAAGATAATGGGACCTTTGTCCCAGGACACTAAAATTTAGAGTGTTCTGATATCATGTAGACTGCTTTATCAATATAGAAACAATGGAACTTAGCAAGAATAATTCATTAAGAAAGAAGCTACCAAATGGTTTGTATGTCCTTCCCAAGCATCACCCCAGGTAAGCATCTCTGCCTCCTACAACTGAATTTCTCTTAAAAAGTTTTATTCTAGAGCATGGTTCTGGCTGTTTGCCTTTGACCTATCTTGTGAAGCTTGACTTGAGTGCCAACATTGTTGGTTATAGATCTGCCTCACTGTCTTTTCCTATTCACAAGAGGTGATAGGATCATAGAATCATAGATCTGGTTCTAGAAGGAACCTCAGAGCCCATCTAATTCACCTCCACACTTATTTTGTAGTTGAGGAAACTGAGATCCAGAGAGGAGAAGGTAGCAAGATTCACATACAACTTTTACTCTTAAGAGGAACTTTTATATTACATACAATAGAGGAGTGAGGTTACAGATTGTTTTTGTTGTTTATTTGTTTAATATTTTATTTTCCCCCAATTACAAGTAAAAAACAATTTTTAACATTTGTTTTTAAAACTTTGAGTTCTAAATTCTCTCTCTTCCTCCCTCCCCAACCCCCCTCATTGAGAAGGCAAAACAATTTGATATAGGTTATACATGTTTAGTCATGCAAAATGTATTTCCATAGTAGTTATAACGTGAAAAAAAACAGAACAAAAAACACCTCAAGAAAAATAAAGTAAAAAAGGTATGTTTCAATCTGTATTCAGACACTGTTAGATCTTTCTTTGGGAATGGATAGCATTTTGCATCATAAATCCTTCAGAGTTGTCTTGGATCATTGTATTGCTGAGGATGACTAAGTCATTTATAGCTTATCATCTTACAATATTGCTGTTACTTTGTACACAGTACATGTCACTTTGCATCAGCTTCTATAAGTCTTTCCAGGTTTTTCTGAAAGCATCCCACTCTCATTTCTTACAGCACAATAATATTCCATCACAATCATATACCACAGTTTGTTTAGACATTCCCTAGTTAATGGGCATCCCCTCAATTTCCAGTTCTTTGCCATTAGAAAAGAGCTGCTATAAATATTTTTTGGAAATATAGGTCCTTTTCCTTTTTGTTTTTTATCTCTTTTTGGATACAGATCTAGAAGTGGTATTGCTAGGTTAAAGGATATGCATGGTTTTATAGCCCTTTGGGCATAGTTCCAAATTGTTCTATAGAATGGTCGAATCAGGTCACAACTCCACCAATAGTGCACTAATGTCTCATTTTCCCCACATCCCCTACAACGTTTGTCATTTACCATTTCTGTCCTATTAGACAATGTAACAGGTATGAGGTAGTACCTCAGAATTGTTTCAATTTGAATTTGTCCGATCAATAGTGAGTTAGAGTATTTTTTTCATGTGGCTATAGATAGCTTTGATTACTTATCTGAAAACTGATCATCTTTTGATCATTTATCAATTGGGGAATAGTTCTCATTTTTATAAACTTAACTCAGAGTTCTATATGTTTGAGAAATGAGATCTTTATCAGAGAAAATTGCTTCAAAATTTTTTCACAGTTACTATTGCTAAATGTATTTCCCTCTATCCTATCCCCCAATTTATTCCATTCTTTCTCTCTACTTTCACCCTGTCCCTCCTCAGAAGTGTTTTGCTTTGACTACTGCCTCCCCCAATCTGCCCTCCCTTCTATCACCCCCCCCATCCCCTTCCCCTTCTACTTTTCTGTAGTGTAAGATAGATTTCTTTACCCAATTGAGTGTGGATATTATTCCCTCTTTGAGACAATTCCAGTGAGAGAGAGGTTCACTCATTCCCCCTTACATCTCCCCCTCTTCTTCTCCACTGTAAAAACTTTCTCTTACCCCTGTTATAGGAGATAATTTATCCCATTCTACCTCTCCCTTTCCCTTTCTCCAAATGCATTCCCCTCTGAGCCCTGAATTTTAGTTTTTTAGATATCATCTCTTCATATTCAACTCAACAAGTGCCCTCTGTCTCTCTTTCTCTCTGTCTCCATCTCTGTCTCTGTCTCTCTCTCTCTCTAAGAATGATTGAAAGTCCTCTATTTCATTGAATATCCATTTTCCCCCTGAAGGATTATACTCAGTTTTGCTGGATGGGTGATTCTTGGTTGTACTCCTAGCTCCTTTGCCCTCTGGAATATCATATTGCAAGCCCTCTGATCCTTTAGTGTAGAAGCTGCTAAATCTTGTGTTATCCTAATTCTGTTTCCACAATACTTGAATTGTTTCTTTCTGGCTGCTTGAAATATTTTCTCCTTGACCTGGGAGCTCTGGAATTTGACTATAATATTCCTGGGAGTTTTCTTTTGGGGATCTCTTTCGGTAAGTGATTGGTGGATTCTTTCAATTTCTATTTCACCCTCTGGTTCCAGAATAACAAGACAGTTTTCCTTAATAATTTCTTGAAAGATGGTATCTACACTCTTTTTTGATCCTGGCTTTCAGGTAGTCCAGTAATTTTCAAATTATCTCTCTGGGATCTATTTTCCAGATCAGTTTTTTTTCCAATGAGATGTTTTACATTGCCTTCTATTTTTTAATTCTTTTTGTTTTGTTTTATTGTTTTTTTTTAATTTCTCATAAAGTCGATAGCTTCCATTTGCTCCTTTCTAATTTTTAAGGAATTATTTTCTTCACGGAGCTTTTGGACTTTTCTTCCATTTGGACAATTCTGATTTCCAAGGTTTCTTCCCATTCTTGGTTTTTTGCTCCTCTTTTACCATTTGGCCTAGTCTGTTTTTAAAGGAATTATTTCTTCAGTATTTTTTTGTGTCTCCTTTACCAAGCTGTTGACTCTTTTTTCATGATTTTCTTACATTACTCTCATTTCTCTTATCAATTTTTCCTCTCCTTCTCTTACTTGATTTCCAAAATCTTTTTTGAGCCCTTCCATGGCCTGAGACCAATTCATCTTTTTCTTGGAGCTTTGGATGTAAGAGCTTTGACTTTGTTATCTTCTTCTGAGTGTGTGTTTTGATCTTTCTTGTCCCTATAGTAACTTACTATGCTCAGAATTTTTTCCTGATGTTTGCTCATTTTACCAGTCTATTTCTTGACTTTTACCTCTTTGTCAAAGTGGGGTTCTGCTTCCAAGGTGGATGGTGCATTATGCCAAGTTTCAGGGTTTTTGTGCATCTGTTTTTGGAGATATTTCTAGGGACTTATAAGTTTTCAGTTCTTCCAAGGTGGTATGATCTAAGGAGAGGTGTGTTTACTACTCTGTTGGCTTGTGCTCTGGTCTGTGAGTGACCGCAATCATTCTTTTCTGCCCTGAAACTATGACAAGGGTTCTTGCTCCACTGTGGTCTGCAAGGTCTGGTGTGCTAGTACTCCTCCTTGCCATGGGACTGCCACACAGGACCATGACCCCAATCCAGAAGTATGGGCAAAGCAACAGAGTCCTATCCCCAGCATCAGCAAAGAGACCCCTGTAATCTCCTTCAGATCAGCTGTTCAACTCCCTTATTATATGTGGGCTGAGGGCTATGGAAGCTGACACTGCCACTGTTGATTCAGTGGCTACCAAAGCCTACTCCTGGTTTGCTGGGACTGGGTCTGTGCTGGTGGGGCCTGTGCTAGACTGTGCCTCTACTCTCACCCTGGTGTGACAGATCTTTCCTGCCAACTTTCTAAGTTGTCTTTGGCTGAAAAATTGTTTCACTCTGACCTTTTGTGGGTTTTGTTGCTCCAGGAATTGTTTTATGGCATTATTTAATGGTGTTCAAAAGAGTTTTGGAAAGAGCTCAGATGAGATGCTACCTTTTCTCCAACATCTTGGCTCTACTTTCATAGATGATTATTAAACTAATTTACTCTAATTTCCATTGCACAAAATAGGCAGTTGCTTACAGAGGTCTGTGGGTATTAAAGGTACATCTGCCAACTTTCTGATGAAAAATACTGTCACCATTGGCCTTGGACAGTGCCTGGATTATTCAATATTAGCATTATTGCTTAAAGGCTAAAATCTGGGATGAGGGCACATCATTGAATTAGCACATTAAGAGAGATGGATTAGTTTATTTGATTAACATATTACCACCTACAGTCATGTAGTAGAAGAGTAGGATGTTGAAGCAATGAGACACAGAGAAGGTACATTTGGATGGAAGGGTACATACTTTGTAGTATAGAGTATACTGAAGGTCTAGGTTGGTCACTGCACTAGGGGGATAGTCAAAGTGGGGGTATCAAGGTACTTTGCACTGTCAGGGAGGGGTTTCAACATATAAAGGGGACAGGGAATTAACAAAAGAAGTGGTGAAGACAAAATTTGCCTACCCCACAATCTGATCTAGTTTCAGTCCTCTGTTTAGCTTAATCTGCCTGTGACCATCTTTCATTCAGTTATTCCACATCCATTTGTTGCATGCCTATTATATGCAATGCATTGTGCTAGAAAGGGATTTTCAAAGGTAAATGAAACATGGACCCTGCTATCATAGAATTTATGTTATCGAGAGAAAAGACTTGTACACAAATAACTATAGTGCAAAGTAATATATTCATAAGACAGGACTAGTAACAGAGTTCTGTGTTGGAAAAGATTCTCTCTTGGCCATTAGGGACCAATTCATGGACAAAGTGGTACCTGATCAAGGTCTTGAAAAGTGGGAATCAAAAAAAAAAGTGAGAATGATTGGAACAGAAAGAAATC